GATTTGAACAAATACAAACAAAAACATCAAAATTAGCACAGAAACAGTACTATATAACATTTTAGACACATTCTAGACAGTTTATCAGCTAAAAAAGTTAATTTTGGGGTGAGTTACTCTTTAATGAGATCTGAAAATCAAGGCTTTTTTTCCCAACTATTTTGGATGTGGGATTGTTCACAAATTCACAGAATAAAACTGACAACAAACAAACTGACTAAATTCAGGCCAGGTGTTTGACTGTGTTAAGATAGCACAAAATAAATGGTATGGTCATGGGGGTCCCTGGTGCCCATATTCAACAGTCATTGCGCGAGAGGTGGGGGAGTTTAAAATATGAATATATTTTACTTAAAATAAAAAAAATGAAACCTAAAATCTAATCTAAACCAGTCCAAAACAAATGTCCTCTTCATAAGAGGTTAGGTAATAAATATAGAAATAATTATTTATATAATTCTGTATAAACACGGCTTGCACCGGGACAGCCAATGATGGTTTTAATCGTAGTACTGGCAAGAACTTACTGTGTACAACACCTTTTGTGTTTCTGAAACTTACAGGATTTGGGCTTGGGTCTAATATCGCCATCACTTCGAGATCGAGTCTGAAAGAAAATTAAAGTTGTGATTAGGTTTGTGCATTTAATGCAAGTAACTACTGCTGCAAAAACCTTCAGGACGTGTATCACCCACCATGCTTCTGATATAGGATTTAAAGGCACTCGAAGAGACTCCATCGGTGTCGGAGCTCTGGGTTTCACTCTGATCGGTAACATATTCACTCTCTGCATCGAAGTCCTCCTGGGCTGCTGTGCATAAATCCAGGTCTGACATTTGCTCTTCCAAACGGCTCGTTACATCTATGAAGATACATCAGAAAGCAGAAACAAAGAGCACATCATCATCATCACCCTGGAACATTGATGCACCACAGTTTCACTTGTTTTTAACAATGCCCAAAATGTTCAAGGTTCACACCAAACAGGTTTTGAGCAGCAAAAATGCTCCCAACGCACCTGTTTGGTGTGAACCCAGCTGAAGCAGAAAGCAGTGAAATAATACCAGTTCATGTGAATACTTGAACCTTTACTATATATTTCAGTGGATGTTTGGAACTGCAAACAGCAGCAGCAGTTAGCTGTAGCATTTCCGATGCAGCATAAACACAGTATCTCACTGCGATGCAGTTATTTGAAACTAGGCTTTTGGCGCCACTCGGACTAACCGTTAGCTTGTCAGTCCTGTCAGATTTAAACTTTTTCCTTCAAAGTAAAGTTCATTCAAAGAGCTTTCTACAACAAGTAAATTTCCTTGTTTACATCATATTTTAATTCGAATTTTGAGCGAATTTTAATAATTTACAGTTTCTAAACTGACAGGGTCCACACATCTCAGGATAATGGAGAGAAGTTATCAAGAACGTGTTGCTGCTATCAGGAAAGTTGTAATTATTCTGTTAACAGCTAGTTTTGGAGATGTTACTACTGTCTGGAGACGTAGAGAAAGAAATGTGATTTTCTTCACGTTACGGGATTACTGAGAAGATGCCAACAGCGATAGGACGGTTCTGCTGCAGCCGACCTAAAACTGGTACTGTGGAACAGCCCATCAGCTACGTGAGGTAAATGTTCGCTACGTCACAACTTATTCAGCAACAGTGTTTCCATATGTCCTTTTGTGCATTAAGTGTTTTTCGAAAAACCCAAAAACCACCTCAAGTGAGTGTAAAAACTTTTTAGCGAATTGAGGATTTTTTTCTACCGTATTTTTCGGACTATAAGCTTTTTCCTGAACTTTGAACCATGCAGCTTGTAGACCGGTGCGGCTTATACGTGAATTTTTTTCTTCAGCCACCAGGGGGCTCTTATGCTGCATTTGCTTCAACCACTTTCTTCAATAAAAGAAGAAAAAAGCGATCCTTCCAGAGCCGACTGTTGTACCAGGAAGCAGCGATTTAAAGATAGTCAATGGCCAAAAACTCATAAAAGGGGATAAA